GCCAAACACGTTGCCAGAATGTATCTAAGATAAAATGTCAGAACATATGCCACATCAAAGGCCAAAATATGTGTCAGATCCCACACCCGAAAAACAATGCCACAATACATGCCAGGTAAAAGGCCAGGTAAAAGCTCCTGTCTTTTCGGGAACAAGTTCACCAACTGTAATTTCAAACCGGGAACCCTTGTGAGCCTGTGAATTGAATTCATGTCAGTATTTCAGGATCGCGCTTCTGGGGAGGGCTGCCTGGCAGAATTTGCGATCCCCAACCAGATCCGGGATCGCGCTTCTGGGGAGGGCTGCCTGGCAGAATTTGCGATCCCCAACCAGATCCGGGATCGCGTGATGCTTTTTCAATGTATTTATAGTGAAATATCAATACTGGAATTCTGTTTTGTTAGAAAATGAACCCCTTTATAATTTCAAATAGGCAACGCGATCCCGGATCTGGTTGGGGATCGCAAATTCTGCCAGGCAGCCCTCCCCAGAAGCGCGATCCCGGATCTGGTTGGGGATCACAAATTCTGCCAGGCAGCCCTCCGCAGAAGAGCGATCCCGGATCTGTTTGGGGATCGCAAATTCTGCCAGGCAGCCCTCCCCAGAAGCGCGATCCTGAAATACATGAATTCAATTCACAGGCTCACAAGGGTTCCCGGTTTGAAATTACAGTTGGTGAACTTGTTCCCGAAAAGACAGGAGCTTTTACCTGGCCTTTTACCTGGCATGTATTGTGGCATTGTTTTTCGGGTGAGGGATCTGACATATATTTTGGCCTTTGATGTGGCATATGTTCTGACATTTTATCTTAGATACATTCTGGCAACGTGTTTGGCAGTGGAGGCCCAGCACTGCCCACTGGCGGTCGGGGTCGCGGTGGAGGCCCGCTGGTGCCCACGTGATCCGAAGCTCGTGGTTGAGGTCCGCCGGTGCGCCCACTGTGATTGAGAGCTGGCGAAGAAGCAAGGAGAAGGAGAAAAAGAGGCGGGAAGCGGACTACTCTAACAAAATCTATAACAACTGTCACCTGGCAGGTGCGGAAAAACCAGAGCAAACTGCAAACGCAGCCTCACTACCAACATGCATGAGAATATCATGGGATGAAGCTAAAACACAAGCGATTGTACAACCAAAGTCGAATACTTCAAGTAACTGTTTTCCCGACCCAAGCGACGGTTGTCTCCAACAAAGGCCTCCAAACGTCCAACATGGGCCCAACATGGACCCAAGATGAGCCCAAGACCAATTTAGGCCTCAACATGGCCCAAGTTGGCTCTACAAGTGGGGCTTTCAGCCAGCTGTATCAGATACAGCTGGCAAAAAAGGGGTCCGTAGAGGCATCATCCTGCCAATATAGGCCTCAACATGGCCCAACATGGCTCTACAAGTGTGGCTTTCAATCAGCTGTATCAGATACAGCTGGCAAAAAAGGGGTCCGTTCAGGCAAATATTTGGAACAATATATACAATGTTCTACATGCAGTGAGTCTCATCATACTTAAGAGGCTTCAGGCCACAGAATACCATGGAAACCAGAAGGTCAGCACCTTCTTGTCACAGGTTTTCCATCCCATAGTCACGGAAGGCTCACCAACCTGGATGTGCTGCCAAGGAAATTGCATTGCAGACAACCAGCAAAAAATCAAAGAAGAAATGCGCAGCCGTGACTGCAAAGAATTCAAGATCTCATGACAACCAGCCCAACAAACGCATGTTGCAGTTATTCTGATTGCTTCGACCAAGTTAGTGTAATGGAAGGCAATGGAAGGCATATCTTCTTTTCCACCCCTAACAGGTCTTCGGAAGCTCTGTTGTCCAAGGTCACTGGTGTACGGCCCCTGTCCTGACTTTGCCGAAAATGATGCAGGACACCCCAAATGAACACCTCCTGGACGCCCTGCACAGTCTATCATGGAACCTCCCTCTTGACTAGAACCTCCCTTTTGATTGAGGCATCTGCAGCTCTGCAAGGAAGCATAGCAGGGTTCGAGACATAGTTTGTCAAAATCCGAGACAAGTCCACATTCTCTTTTTCGAGAAGCCGTATGCGCTCAGCGGATTCCTGCAAACTCTTCACCAATCCTTGCGGGTCCTGACATTGGGCCAACAGCGCCTTCGCCTCATCCAGCTGCTTCTGCAGATCATCATAGCCCTGGATCTTTTGGTAGTCTTCAGCACTCAAACGATATCTAAGATTTTTTCTTCGGCTCTCATACCTGAGGCCGCATTGCGGACCGCAAAACTTTGACAGATGTTTTGGAATATAGAGTGTGTGCAATATGAAATGCCTCATACCCAACATTATTCAGTTCGTCAATATGGCATCCCGTATGGCTGGGCCAGAGCATGGCTAAGGACTCTTGCGGGTTTGGGTTGAAAACTCCAAGTTGCTTTTTGTGGGCAGTTTTTTTTCTGCTCATCATCCTTCTTCACGGGTGTGTCCGCAACAACCTGCTCTGATGATCTCTTTGACTTGCTCCGGCCCGCAGCATCGCTCTTCGATGTCTTGCTCTGGCGGCAGGTGGACATGCTGAAGCTCTGAGCCTGAGAACCTTTACTATATACCTGCTTGTCCATGGCCATCAATGGTTGGACGCGGCAGTGATTCAAACAATGAGTCATCCATGAAAAACACGCAAGTACTAACTTGGCGTGATTCCTGGAGATGTAGCCCTAGTAAGGGAGGTTCTACTGGTCCGTGTTCATCTTAGCTGACTGCGCAAAATCCTTGTTTGAAATGGACAAGTGGCAAAGGATGCGGCGGAGGCATTCCCACATGTTCCAAGGTCAGATAATCAGAAGAGTCGGTGACCACGCATGACTGATGACGCAACATGACACTTCTGGAAATTCTAGGCAACCGAGCTCTGTCGAGAAGCACGCGATCCTGCTATCTCTAGCCTGCAGAATGTCGAGAACCCAAGAAAAATGACAAGACAGGGGCCCGAATTGGAGGCTAGAACTTCGAGTAAATGCGCAGAGCTTGCATGTCTTGCTTGCTACATCCCTGACAGGCATTGTTCAACGCTGTGCATACCAATTGATCTTAGCAGTATATACCTGCATTTGTTTCGTGGAGCTTGGGCTCCGAATCGGGCCCCGAATCCGGGCCCCGAACCAAAGCTTCGAACAAATCGGGCGACTACACTCAACTTGAATTTAAACCATGTTTGTTACATTTCTAAGGCATACTTTGCAAGGTTACCCATGGCCCATGTCATGGAGATTGGGCTCCCCATCCAGGCCCCGAATCCGGGGCCCGAATCTTCGAACATCAGGCGACTACACTAAACTTGAATTTGAACCATGCTTGTTACATCTCTGAGGCATAGTTTGCAAGGCTGCACGTACAATATACCCATTTCATGGAGATTGGGCTCCCCATCCAGGCATCTTCGAACATCAGGCGACTACGCTCAACTTGAATTTGAACCATGCTTGTTACATCTCTAAGGCATAGTTTGCAAGGCTGCACGTACAATATACCCATTTCATGGAGATTGGGCTCCCCATCCGGGCCCCGAATCCGGGGCCCGAATCTTCGAACATCAGGCGACTACACTCAACTTGAATTTGAACCATGCTTGTTACATCTCTACCTAGATATCCCAAGTCTGCGTTTTTTTTGTATTCGTACGATTTCAGCTCAAAAAACGTATTTGTTTATATAAAAACGTATTTGTTTCCAAAACAGGTCTTTGCTGGGTTTCTGTGCGCACGGCCTTTTTGATCAAGATGACCAAAAACCTGATCCGACCATCCTCTGCGGCTGAAATGCCTGCCCCTCAGGGGTCTGGCATACCATGGAGAAGGTTTGCATATATCATCATGCAGATAATGTCCAAAACCCTATGTCCTCCCATTATACAGGCTTTAATTTAATATATAAAGCTAATAGGTCCCACAATGAACTGTAATGATCCAATTATATATATGGTTCCAACCGTCATGAACCGACAGGGGTCTTGAATGCTGCACATGTCATCCCCAAATTTAAAAATTTAGTTGGGTATACACACAACACAACAGTAAACATTTTCAATGGGTCCTTCTCCTTTGTCTCATTCGCCGCAAGCGGCTTTGGAAACTTACCCCATAGCGTTGCAAAGTACGGTATATTGTCAGGCGGGTTGAAACCCGACGTGAGGTTCGAGCTATTCTCCCAATAAAGTCCTCATTCTGTTCACAATTGAAGATGCATGGGTTCAAAATAAATTGGTGGTTCCCCCTGACAGCGGCCCGTAGTTCAAACACTGTATGGGCTAAAGAGTGAAACTTGGGGCGCATACAAAATAACCTTAGGTTAATGCCCAAACATTCACGGGCACAGAACGAATATGCCCTCAATGCCTGAAGTCCTTGCTTCATCATGAACTGAGCGCAGCTTCTTGGAAGCCACAAGTCATGTCCATGCATGATCCCTAGAAAGTTCAGTAGCCCCTGGCACAGCTGCAACATAGCAGTCAACAACACTTTGTGGTCCCCTTTCATGTCCAGAAGGCAACAGCGGATGAAGAATTCTAACCACATCAAAACCAGGGTGCAATCTGAACCTTTGCCACCCATGTATGGAAATGATCGCTGCTTGTCAAAATGCAAATTTGCTTTTGTGAAGTTCTTCAAAGATGGCGTTTTCTTGTGAGTCTCGCACCAAAGTTTGAACATAGAGAAACCACGGCTGAGTCTGTCGGGTAAATTTTTTGTTTCACCCGGAAAATCGAAATACAGCAGGTAAGACAGAAGAAGCAATAAAGACGCTGTTGCTTCCCTTCCAACTCCATGTTTCACGACGTGAAACATGTCTCTCTTGTACAGACTAGCAGGGTTCTGGTCACTGTACGGCACGGAAATCAATGGTGGTGGCTCATCTGGATTCCAAGGCACTGATGCTCCAACCTTGCCGGCAGAATGGGAAGGTGCAGAGCTGATGTTCATGCCTTTGGGGCAAAAAGTAATCAAAACAAATGGTGGGCAACTACGAAACTGAACTATAGAATGAGTTAAGCAACTGTGTTCAACCAGCTGGGGTTGTCAGAGACATCGCCAAAGTTGTCGTCAGCTTCACATTCATGGCACATTTGTAAATTGTTGGCTGTTCCAACCGTCATGTATGAACGGCAAAATTCTCCAGCTTCCACATGGAATTCTGCATCCCCCTTCACACCTATGAGGGCAAAGTGGTACGTGGTAGAATTCACTTCCACACCGTCCAAAAACAAACTCTTCAGTTGCGACCCCAACTCCTTGAGGACTGTTCTAAGTACGGTGTAACTGTCCAAGCTGTAGACAGCATATGGAACGCAGGTGAAGAGGTACCGGTTCAAGAAAGAGTGTCCTGGGGTAGCACAGCAAACCAAGGGCGATGTAAATTTGTATTAGGGAGTCCTTTGACTCTAGGGTCATGATGATGATGGTGATGATGTTAGTGATGGCCGTGATGTCGGTGACGGTGAGAGAATGATGGTGATGGTGGTGGTGGTGGTGATGAGGATGGTGATGTTGATGATGATAATGGTGATGCTTACGGAGAAGAAGAAAAAGAAGAAGATGATGAGGATGATGATGATGATGAGTAGGTTGATGGTCTTGATGATGAAGGGGGGGTAACACACAGAGGCACGACTGACAAAATTTGGTTGAATTATTTTGAACACCACTTGAACCAAATAGCCAACATGTTAGCAACAATTGCAGATCTTAGAGATGATCTTTACACTTTGGTGGAGAAGAAAGGGGATGTTACTCTTATAGGACATTGGATTTACATGCACAAACAAACCAGCCAGGAATCCCAATGAATTGTGAGTGTCATACTCACCGCACTGGCCCAGGCGCCGCCGCTTGATGGTGCAGGCATCGTCAGCATCGTCATACGTTCCTCCACCATTCGACGATGTTGACCGCTCTAAGCACGTGACCCCCAAGTGGCCTGTGTCATATTTCTGCTGGTTTCGCCGGTTGAGGACAGGTTCTGTTGCCGTGTCCCTAAGCCCAGCAGGTAGGCCCCACACAGACTCCCATGAGTAGCATGCTATGGGGGATTTTTTGAGAGTACGGCCTTTGTCACCATGGATGCAAATTGGCACCACCCGACGGAAGTCAACAAACTGTTGAAACACTTTGTGGTCTGGTTGGTGGTCGCGGAACTTCTCCCAAAACGACTTGCACCGGGATTCGCCAGATTCAAGCGTATCCCCACCCAACAAAATTTCTGGATGCTTCGTCAACAGATGTCCAGCCATGTCAGTAACCTGCAGGGTTCCAGAGGTTGAACAATACATGCAAGACTGCATGTCCAAGCATGTTCACGGTATGGTTGAACATCAGAATAGTTTCAGTATTTCGGAGACAAAGGTTTGTATCAAAGAATGTTCTCCAGCATTTCAATACCCCAAAACTTGAACTAGTGCTTCATAACCCATGAAGACCTTGTAGTGTGGGATGGACACCGTTTGGCCATCATCCAATGGTATGGTCAGTTCACTGATGGGTACCCTTAAAGATAGCCAGTACTTGTTGAGAAGTCGATGAGCATCTCGCTCTCCATGACTTGGATGCACTTTGGTGGCTGCATACAGGCTGCCTACGTTGGGCGCACCGTCGGCCACTGCTGCTCTGGCCATAGTTCCAACTCGGCAAGCTGGGGCCTGAGCCGCTTAAGAATGGAGGAGTTTGGAAGGTTGCAGGTTCAGCAACAACCAGGGCCAAGCGCCAGACACCGTCACCAATCTCATCCGCCAAGACTTCTAACATTTTTTGTCGAGAAGTTTCCTCACCTGGCAAAGATGGATAACGAAAGACTGGCTCACAAAAGACGCTGCCACCTGCCTTCTGAGAAATTCTCACCATATTCATTTGACTGGGGTCAGCCATTTAAAAATTATCAGCGCTGAAATCCAGGACAAACTGAACTGAGTGCAGGCATGTTTTGGCACAGCGGTCCTTTTGTTGTCCTGATGTCATCACATCTTTTCTGCCAAAGTCAAAATTGCCAAGCCGAAGTGATTGACTTTTCAATTCACTTACGGGGACGTTTCTTGGGACCAGTCTCCTTTGGAACTGCCACTGATGCTCTCTTTGGTGTCTTGCTGGGCGTGTCCTCAGCAGGCTTGGGAACTGGCACTTTCGGGGCTGCCTTCGCCTTGGAACTCTTCGAAGGCGGCGGGCGCTTGGCGCTCACCGCTTTGGGCGCGATGCTCCTGACAGGTGTGTCAATTTAGGAACCCCTATAGGAGCTTGAGAACCCGCAAAAAAATCAACGGAGTTAGCCTGGGGAAGTGTGAATATAAATAGGTGCAATGATCGTGCATTCGGTCCTGGCTCTTGACTCCAAATTGAAAGCTTCCAGCAACCTCAAAAGCAACTGAGGGCAAAGCTTTTTACCTGTAAGCAGTGCAGTGGACATATGAGGGCCTAGCGCGCTTCGGGCACTGTCCACCATATCTTTCAAGGCGGTCTCCTTCCTCAGAAAGCGCGCGCATTTCTCACTTTAGAGCTTGTGGCCTACAGTTTTTGAAGATTGCTGAGCTTCTTGATTCTATATATATAATATATATATATTGGTCTAAAATATCTTCAGAAATCAAAAGAGCTGAAGTGATGTAGGATTGGTTTTAAACATGTGCTGAGGGTTGGACTCTTGGGTGAAGCCTTCCAGAATGCCAGCGTTGGCTTCAGCCGAAAGAGCCTCACTCTGCGAATCCAGCTTGGCATACACTTCCTCCAGCTTGTCGCACATCCTGAAAAGCCGGAGAGTGCTCTAGAAGTCTTTGTTCGGAGAAACAATATGCATTCAGTGGGAATTGCTGTTATGTTCCGAGATTCTTGCGGACAAGGGCTGAGTCACCTCCCGCCGCAAAGAGTTTTTTCACTTCTTCCAACTTCCCCATGCGCTTCGTCAAGGCTGTGCTGACTTTCGTAAGCAGGGCTGAGGGTTTGGTGGTGTCCTGGACTTCCGGGTACCCCAGCCGCTTCAACAACTTCATTGTCTCCTGTGCCGAAGGTGGCAAACCACCATCTTCGTCGCCAGGGACAACATCGGCACCGCCAACTGCAGGTGCACGGGGATCAGTGGCATGTGTGATACCGAGAGACCAGCTTCGAACCAGGATTTTATATACTGTACATATGGAATATACCACAATACACATGCTTCTAGAGTTTGGTCAGCTTGTGGAAAGCCAGTACCAATTTAGGCAAGATGTTGCCACAAGCGTTTGGTTGACTCACAATTTATGTGGGCAACCCACCTTCCAGTGGTAGGTCCATGTCGAAGCTCATGTCAAGAGTGGTTTCTTCAGTCTCCCACTCTGCGCTTTCTGAGTGGCCAGCCTTCATCCGGTCCCTGAGTTGGAAATGCAACAAGTGCAAAAACGATGCAGAAAACATATGCGGTTCAGCTGTTGCATCGAGTCAGTCCATGAATGTTAAACATGCTGCCTGTTTAACATATGTTCAGCCAGTCTGAGACAACAGAGTTAAGATTACATGCAAGCAAGCTAGGCACTTTGAATGGCCACTGACTTCAGTCTCCACGTAGTAAGACCACTCCTCCTTTTGCGCACTCCACCTGGCAGACATGGCACTAAAGCCACAAGTTAAGTTGACCCAAGACCGTTCAACAAATGCAGACAAGAACCAAACCGTTCTTGGTTTTGAAGTTTCGGGGATCAATATGCGGACCTCATCATCTTCTTTGGATTTGCTTTTGCACGCGCGATGATGTTCTTCTTCTCTTTCCTATAGCACCGCAGGAAAACACATATTGTTTGTTTGCTGCAGTATGCTATATTCATTTGGAAAGTTTGAAGCATTGCAGGGAAAATTCAACATGAAATTCATCAAAGTTTCTCCGATCTATCGCCAAATTGGCTTTCAGTGAGGAAGGTGAAATACACTCCGAGTTCAGTCTCTTTCTCGTGCTCTTTTTTGACAGAATGGCGTTTGACAAAGGTGTCGGTGTCATTCCCACAATCAGCGAACAGCCGAAACACTTTCTCCCGGCTCCCTTCTTCCCAAAGCTTTCGAACCTCTGAGCTCACCTTAAACTCCCCCTTTGCATTGGGCTCCATCGCCCGTCGGATGCGACGGTCTATCGCCCCCTGACTCAGCGGAGGGGGCCCAGCTGGGGGTGGCATCTGCTGTGGTGCAGGCTTAGGCAGGGCCACAGGAAAAGGTGGCAAAGTCTTTGAAACCTTGTTTTCCTCAAAGTGTTCCTCCAAACGCTTGGGAACAACTGGACTCGAAACCTTCTGGGTCTCAGGAAAGCGACCTTCTTTTTCTGGGGTTGACAAGATGCCGGATTTCCCACGCTGCAACGGGGATGGAGACGGAACGGCCATAGGTTCCTCATCATCTCCTGGTAGCCGATCTTGCTGTTGTTCGCCTCGGCCAGGCTCTCCACATAGACCAACCCTGTACAAAAAAAAATCGATCAGCAAATATGTTGTTCATTGAACTTTACTCAATGGGTGATCTCCCAGAAAAAACTTTATAGGCATTGACTGGGAAATGTTACGATATGAAATGATATGGTATGAAATAGCAAGATACTTTATGGGATGATATGATGTTATATTATATTATGGTCAGTGTAATGTGTTCTTGTCATATATCCCTGGGATCCAGCGCTTGGGAGAGTAGCAGCACCTTCTAGGTTTAATCTTTGGCACCTGACTCTGATATTTTTTGGGGTGTGTCCCAGACCAAAAAAAAACATGTGTTTTTGGAACATTTCACAATAAAGAGAACCTTCCCTTCCATGAGGTGATTTGAGATTGGCACTCGGTGTCCTGAGATCGATTTCTACTCGTACTTCTGGAGACTCCTGGAAGGAAGGGCCAGGCAGCCATGAAAGAAAAGACCAAGACCTGTCTTCCTCCTCACAGATGGTAATTTTTTTGGTGGTGCCCAGGGCACCCTTTTCCATGTTCGTGGGAACCCAGAACTGTTTTAAAACTGACACCTCTAGAAAGTAGTTTTTTATGTTTTTGGTCAGTATATGATATGTCAGTAAATAAATTCATTGGATTCAGCTTGACTTAATCTTGTGAAGCAATGATTGGTTTGACACTAACCGTAACAGTCTCGAATGTAAGAACATCCATAGAAAACAGCATGGAAGTGCAAGTCCTTGTCCTGATCTTCCTGGGTCTGCTGCGCAGTGGAGGGCGCAGCATGGAGGGCGCAGCATGGAGGGCGCAGCATTGCGATGGGCATCAAAGATTCCCTGGTTCAGGGCCTGACAACGACATCGCCTTGTTTGGGAACTAGTGCGAAAGGGATGTTAGGGAAAAAAATCAAGGCAAGTGATGGGATAGCCTCTAAGCGAAGCTTCAACTCTTTCTCTTCATCGTCCAAAGGAAACTTTTTCCCCACCACATCTTCCATAGGGGCAGCCATGAGGTCCAACCCTTCTGCTAGAGTAGAAGAGCTAGACAAAAAACTCTTGCTGTTCATGTTCACTGTGCAACCCTTGAGCCAGGATTCAAACAGAGCTATTTTCAATTTGAATTGCCGAAAAATGCACAAAAATGAGTCTGAAATCCATTCCGGGAATTTCCGCGTTTGTTCCGCGGATTTCCGCGTTTGTTCCGGTAATTTCCGCGTTTGTTTTCGGGGTGAAAATGGCAAAAAAAGTGAAAATCCATTTTTGGAGGATGAAACTGCCAAAATCAGGAGAATCAGCTGGAAATTTCTGGAAAGTCTTGGTCAGCCCAAAAAAATCTGATTGGAATCGAAGTTTTCCTTTTTTCTATATGTGGTTTTCACACTCCAGAAATTCCCATGGTCCAAGTCGCAGTGCCTTTCACAGATCCGCTGCAGACACATCCTCTGTCCCCTAGGAACAGAAGCTGTTCAAAGTAGCTTCATCGACAGGAATTAATTTCTTCCACTCTTGTGGAAGGCAAATCAATTTACTTCTTCTCAAATAAAACATGGTTTCCTTCAAATTTGCACCATCCCAGGCAGCAGTCTGGGTCCATGCCAAGCGCTCGAAACATTCATGGAGAGGGCCAGACACCTGACAGGGTTTTGAAGTTCACCCTGAACTGGCACTTTCTCAGCACGTTTCATTCTCCAATGTTTTTCGCTGAATAGGATAAATGTTTCCCAAAACTGCATGCGCCTGAGGTGTTTTTTTGAATCTTCCAGAAAAATGCTGGAAAGCTGGGATGTTCTCAATCACTTTCGATGCAAACCGCAGGGGGTAATGCCTCAGATAGGGAATCAACTGGTAGAACCCCACTAGATTCGCATGTCCCACCATTAAATTTGACAGGAAGAAGAGAATCCGGAATAAGTGAATTCAAGTTACTCAGTGGATTTCAGGTGTCGGCTCCCACTGTAGCCACTCTTGCCGGTCTTCTTGGAAACATATCGAACTGTGGTGGGTGGTCCAGCTTCTTCATTTTTTCGTTTGGCCAAACCATGTGTCGTAAAAGCCCTGATTACTGGGTTATTGGACCATATGATTGACCGCTTTGGGCTCCAATGTCCCCAGCATCCCATCCAAAATGATTGCCGATAGATCTTTATATTCAAATCCCCCAACACCTGAAGTAGCCATTGCATCCTGTGAGTGCCCATTAGCACTGATGATCCCGGCTGCTCCAACAAAAACGTGTTGAAAAGTAAACAAATGACAAGTATGAACAAAGCGCTGCAGGCTGCCAAACAATTTCCCCTTAGCACCGATGCAACTCGTGGGTCCCCATCTGGTAGTGCCCATGATCGTTTGGAAGTGCCAGAATTAATTTGCACAAATGTGCTACACTCAGTCGCCACCAAAGACACCAGCCCTTCGCCACTGTAGAGAAGTAGAGCCAAACATAGACTCAGATATGCCATCATGTGAGAAAGCAAATCAAACAGGTGAACATCAAATACATCAACTACCAAATAGGGACCTCAATATTAGATTAGCGGCATGAAACCGGCAGGCTTCAAAACGTTCAATTTTGGAGAGTAAAGAAAGTCAACTGCCCTTGAGCGGAAGCCAGACCATGATGCCATCCTAGCAGTCCTTGCTCGACCTGAAAAAATCTCCACGAACTGTGAGTTGCAAACTTTTGCAACCTCGTCAGGGCGGAGGTAGGATACCATGATCAGAATTGCCACAAACTCCTGCAGCAGGAAGAACGCATACTACTTATTGGCCCCAATACACATCCCCAAAACGTTGTAGAATATGTGTTGTTTGGTGAAACCCAGTCCTTGGGGATATCGGGTATGAACATCAATCGTCTAAGCAAAGCTTCATGGGCTGGGCGCATGGCTGAAAGAGGTATGGAATCCCAAATTCGAATCCGATTGACAGCCGGCAAAACTGCAGAGAAAGCGTAAAAAGTATATTCCATGTGCATGCGCATGCACTGCATATATTTAAAAGGTCAAGTAGGGCGCACAAGCAGGCAGGGAAGACGCTCTTCATCATCCAGCCATCCGCGGGAGGCCATGAAAGCATGGCCCCTTTTCATCACCTGCGTCGGGCGCGGCTGACAGAACATAAGGATACTTTACAGGGTAAAGGGCTGGTGTCAGAAAGAGCTGGTATGAGTCAACCAAAGTAAGTTTGCACCTTCTTTTTCTGCTCTGCCCCGTTTGTTGCACACTTGACATCTGAGGTTGGCAAGGTTTGTCCCTGCGCTAATTGAAGTAGAGAAGCTTGGAATTCAAACTTCACACAAATAAGAAACCCCAAAGTTGGATCTAGGCAGTCGGAAAGCAACTGCGGTCCAATCATGAACGCTTTGTCCCGTTTGAAAAAATGGGATCTTCGGATACCGGACTACAACATATTGGCATACCCATCAGCCAGCTCCACCATCAAATTGCCCAAGTTCTCAGAAGTGGAAGCCTTGATAGCCTCTTTGTTTCGGACCTTGCAATACTTCCAAAACTTGTCCTGACACCCCACATTCTAAATGTAAAGAGGTGTTACAGTAAGCAAAGTTACAACTTTGTTGAAAAAAAACGCAAACTTGAGAAACCCTGGGCTGTAGCGTCCTCGTGCTTGGCCTGGGGCTTGAGGTGAGCCAAATTGACTCGGTAGGCTTCACGGATAGCCTTCCATTCTGCGAACCCTCTTTCACCCTCAGGTGGGTTCCGGCGAGCAAAGCTGATAGCTTCACCCCGGGAAGCTCTCTTGCGCTGGCGGGGTGCGCTCTTGGGTGCTGGTTTGGCGCGCTTAGTCTTGCTTCCATGCTCTGCATCGTCTTTGCGGGTGCTGCGCTTGGGGGGGGTAACAGGAGCATCTTGCTGTGCTGCCTCCTCCTGATCCTGGTGCTCCTCAGCCTTCCTCTTGCGCGTGGTCTTTTTGACCTGGGAACCTGCACCACCTTCCTTGTGGGCTTTCGCCTTTGCTTTTGCCTTCGCTTTGGGGGTGGCCTTTCCTCGTGCCTTCGCCTTCGCCTTACCCTTTGGCCTACCTGGCCTACCTCTTGCCTTAGCCTTTGCCTTAGCCTTTGGCCTCCCACGTCCCGAGGGCTTGCCCTGTTCCTCAGAGGCGTCTGCAGCTTCTTCTTCGGGAACTGAGCGGAACTGGTCCAAACGAGACACCGGCTCCTAAGGGGTTGGCACTGCTGTTTTGTTTGTTCCCCTAGTGACCCAGAATATATTTATAAACCCATAATATAATCTGGTATCCCCACAACGGTTGATTGATTTTATGAACATTTTGGTGCGTCTACATAACATATAAATGTCCTAAAATGGTGCTGCCCAAAAATCACAAGGTTCAATAACGTTCTAATTTTAGATGATTTCGGACACCCGAAGTTGAAACATCTTTTGGGGGATATCTACTTAATGAACTCTTGGCAAGTACAAAACAGTGGGCCAAATTAGGCACACAACCTTATCCTGGTGGTCCAAAGCATTGAACCCATCCGTCTTGGGCGTCCCATCCAACGTTGCCGCAGGTTCAGCAGCGACATCAGGCTGGCCAGGAACCTCAGGAACTGATGCCTGCGGATCAGCCACGGGAGGCAAGGATTCCACCTTGGTATCTTTGGGGTCAGCAATGGCGGAGCCATCCAAATCATCATCCACCGTCTCTCCCAAAACCAGGGTGGGCAAAGTCAGGAGTGTATCAGCCTCCTTGGGAGGTGACACCGGCGGTGGAGAGCTGGGCAAGGCTGCAGAAGCCAGGTAAGGGTCAAACGGCAAGGTGTCCACCAGATCAGGATTCACACCTGCCCAAAGGTCAAAGGTGAGCATGTTGGTTATAAGAGTAGCTGGGAATGATATACCTTTTCAATGACACTGGATGAGGTGGAAATGTTCCATATAACATACTTTTTCTTGATTGTATCATAGTGTGTATATATATAGACATGTTATATAGGTAATATGCCTCATGCGAATATTTCCTATAGGTCCAATATAATCAAAAACCTGACCAGGTAAAGGGGGGGCCAAAATACACAGCCCCTAACCCCCCCCAAGCCTTTGGGAACAGCAACTGCGGCAGCTGAAGGCAACGGCGGCGGCAACTTCTTGGCATCCTGGATGGCTTTCAGGCGACGCCTTGGCTAACAGCTATGGCAGAAGGTGCATATAAGTGACATAGGGGAATAAACCTATATATAACATAGTGTACAAGTGGGAACAGCGAAAAAAAATATATTATATAATATATATATTTGTTTTAAGCAAATTCTAAGTTTCAAGATGTAAGCCCTTTCATTTTCCATTTCCACTACCGTCGATGGCAAAGAAGGAGCACCACCAGAGGTAGGAGGCACAGGATTCCCATCACCTTCAACATTGCTGGAAGCTCCATCACCAGGCGTAAGAATGGCAGAACCAGAGGCAAGATTCCCATCAGACTCACCATTGGTGGAGGCTCCATCACTGGAAGTAGGAAACGCAGAATCCCCACTCGGGCCCCCCGCGCCATCACCATTGGTGACATCATCGTCCAAAGTAGGAGACCCATCACCCTCACCAGTGGTGGAACCCCCATCAGCATCGCCAGCAGCAACTGGCGCAGCAGCCCCAGCAGGAGATTCTCCGTCGTCTTCTCCAAGAGGCGGCTCAAGGGTTCGGCCAATGAGGTGTCCCCAGTGCTCAGTCATAGTGTCCATCAAACGACGAAGGTTTGGGTCCTAGGATGTGCAAAAAAAACATCTAAACCATGCTATGTGATTTGATCCATTTCATCCATTGAAAAGAATATGCTATAGGTAGCCAGGGAACACGAAACGTATGGATGGGGGCTTTCCACTTTCGGACACACAGCGAGATCAACCGCTTCATCCCCCACGAATCTAAGTAGATGCTGCGCGGCTTCTGCTCAATGTTCAGCATGACATAGAGCTGTCGCACCTGCCCAGTCAAAAAGAAATATAGCGATCTATTTTGTTTCTTCTCTGAGAAAAATAAATCCGAGGAATTCCCGAATAGTCTTGTCACATCCCGGCCTCTTCCTTCAGCCAATTGACGGGTGGGGACTTTGCTTCACTAGTGTGGTGGGAACCCCAAACTTCCAGAGCATCATGAACAGCTTGGCGGTTCACACTCAAAGCTGACAGGGAACCAATCCCAGTAAGTTCCACCTTTGGCCATTTCAACATCCTTCCCGTATCCCGAAGGCTTTTCCGAACATCAGAGCATTCCTCCCACAAACAAGCCAAAGCGTGGGTAGGAGGCCATGAATCTCCATCGTCGTCGTCCTCGTCATAAGGGACGAGTGCCACGTCAGCAGGCTCTGGTGGAGCAGCTGCCATGACTTGGAACTTCAACTCTGATCTAGGAAAAACGCTGAGCCCTGGATTGCTGCTAATCCAAGATTACGTGGGAAATCCTGGCCAAGGTACATATAACTAAGTTGGTTCATGATAGGTTATGTATATAATATATGGTCTATATATGGTATAATTTCATGGGGCGTAAAAATCAAGTTCTAAGTGGGGGTCGCCACATTGTACTTTTTAAATTTAAACCATTCCTATCACCCAATGTCTGATTTGGGGTTACGACATGCCCACATGTTTGGATTTGCCACATATTCACATTCAAAATTATTTAACCCAATTCTTCTTAGAGCAGGCAGTGCCGGGGGGAGGTCACCTCCGTTCGAATCAGCAGGCAAGCGAGAAGACCATCGCATGACCTGCGTGCGGCACCAAGAATCTGTTTTTAAACTATAAGTTGTTATGGCAGAAGTTACCATTCGAAACTGAGATGATGGTAAAACAAACTTTGTCATCCTGCAGCAGCAGTGGTATTCAGCCGTGAGTTGAATAGCCATGGTATGGCCCCCACAATCGGTAAAACAGTGCGTTTTCCAAATCTGCTTCCACTATGGGCCCAAACAAGATTTGGTCAGAGCACTGGCTTTCGAAGCACCGACGAACTTGGAAGCAAGTGGTTTGCAGATTTCGGCTTTCCGGTCCAGGCATGTATTCAAACAATTGGCCTTTGTCCATCAAGGCATCAAGTACAAAATTGCCTGGCATCACTTCTGTTCCTCTTTCAAATTCCTGGGCATTACAGTGGATAAATACAATAAACCCCACACAAGAAGATGTGACAAAATACATGTATCTTTCTTCAAAGAGATTCAACCCAATCCCCCATAGGTGTCCCCAACATATTATATTTTTAAAACAGCAAAATTTTGAGGATGTGATTTTACGTTTTGGAGGGGCCCCAAATCAAAAATACGACGCTCACTGCAAAGCAAAATTCTCCTTCTTCTCATCTTCGGTTGCCTTCGACAAGGCGCTGGATTCCTGATGGACGGCGCAGGGAAGGTGCAAAGGTCACCTGGGCCCTGGGTAGCAAAAGCATGCTCAGTCAAAAGTGGGTGTCCTGTTCCAGCAAATCTTTGCAAATACCGCCAGCATGAATATTGTGAATGATGATGTTCACAAGGTCATCTGCTGCAGGGGGTTCCTGGGCAGTGCAACCCTTGACTGTCTGCAGTACTTCTAAGAGAAAAAGAACGCCATGGCGCAAAAGCCCCATTGTAAACAAATAAAGTTGCTGCTACGCCACAGACTTTGGGAAGAGAACTTCCACACAGCTGTCCCAAAAAGCGTTCGGCAAATCGTGGAGGCCTTCGGCGGAAGACTTCTATTGCTATTATGGGGTGAGTACATCTTGCTTTACAAACAGCACAAATGTTTACAAATATCTTTTTGAAATTCTGTCCCCCTGCCTTCTTTTTGAAGCCGGGTGATGGATTCGACATTGCATCCCTCTAACTTGGCAGCCATGGTTCTAGTTGGAAGACTTGGAACCTGATAAATGGCTTTGCTGATAAAGTCGCCACAAGAACATCAAGGTTGCAGGCAAACTCAAATGCAAATTGCAGGCAGGGTAGTGGGCGGAGGTAGCACCTGCTCCCACTCTAAGTTCACCAAAACTCAAGAGGTATGGTGAGCCCAATCAAGGAGAAGCGGCGTGTCGCATTGATTTAGGCAACCAAAGTATGCAAATAATGTCTAAACTACCCAAATGTGCTTTCGGGGCTAATTTTATCAAAAAACGTATTTGTTTGGAAAAACCTGGTTTTTCCAACAAATACATTTTTTTTGCATACTTTCGGTTGCCTAGGTATACATTATACATATATCATAAAGGTATCCCCAAATCATCCAAGTCGCTGGTGACCAGGACGGAGCCTTTGGACCTGGTGCCGCTGGTCACCACTGCCCTGGCCTCGGCGTTGCAGGTGGATGAAGCGAGGCTTCGAAACGTGGCGCCTCGGCTCGGCTCGTGTTTTTCGTGGATTTTCTTGCGCTAAAGTGAAGCGAAAAAAACACATGCACATAATGATTAATTAAAAACAACCAACTACATATGTATATATATATATACACATGTGATTTACTATAGCTATAGTAGAATAATATTAATATATTCATCTATTTTGGCATTTGTCTCAAACCTTGAGAGGTTGGAATTGATCGTGGCGGAGTATGTTGGAATTATACGATATATGATATATAATATATGAATAAACAAATCATGGAGGACAAGGGAATAAGGAGGACATGGGTCAGAAACTGTGTTGGGCTAAGGCTAGGGGGACTGGAAGTATGAAGTCTGAAAACAATCAAAATTTTGTGTGTCAACCTTTCTACGAATGATCGGTTTGTGGGGCAATGGCTGTCTTAAAAAATAAATGTTGTGATGTGGGTAACATAAGTTATTGTCTTTGACGTTTTTGGAAATCATACTGTATCATTTTTTTTGTCACAACAAGTGAAATCCATTTGTTGTTAGTTAAATCATCTTAAATCCCTTTTTTTTTGTCATAACTGTTATGAATCCGCTCGCATTTTTGCGTCATGTTTTCCTCAGGTTGTTGAGACGGAGGTTCGACGCCTAGCAGCACAAGAGACCTCTCTGAGGGTCAGTTTCTCGGCGACGGGGTGATGGTGATACGATGGGGATACAATGGGGATATGATATGATATGATCAGATCCAACCAATCATAGTCAACCAATCTGACGATAATGATAAGGTGTTTATATGTATCACACACTTTGTCTTGATTAGATATTAGACAATACAAACTCAAGCAATCTTAGACAATTGGGTGTGGTAGCTGAAAATTTGGGGGACTGATAAAGAAAGTTGTGGCAATATCTAGAAGGGAACATGATGACTGGAATTTGTAGTACAAATGTTTCAGACAAACCCAGTTAGAACTCACAGTAAAAGTGGGAAACAAAATGCTAGCTCATGGGAAAAATATAACTCGGACATTTTGTTTACAAGATGGGGCCCCATAGTTCGCTACGTTTGTTTATATCTAGTATAGCTAGGGTTTATGACAAACGTGTACTGGTCAACGGATGTTAATGGATGTTTATAGACTATAGACCAACAAACATACATACATTGGGGGGCCAGCTTACAGTATAGAGGAGGACACCTTCGACCGTGATGGGAACATGAGAATAGGTATCCTGCATTTGTTTCCTCTTAATTTGTTTAAAAGGAGCACTATAGTACTTGTATATGATATGGACTGATTTGCCCCAATTTGCGGTTTTCCACATACTCGTATCCAACTCTAGGATTCACACGATCCAGATATCACCACAGCTGACGATCCAGGTTACGAAGTGATCACAGCCATGGAGAATGCGAAACTTGTGCTGAATGGAAGTTTGGGGGCTACCGCCTACCCCAGCAAAAATAGGGGCTTAGCAGCCCCCTAGAATTGTGGCTCATGGTGCTTAGTTAGCTGTTGATGAGGCATATATCCAAAGATATTCATGGGGACTCTCTGCAAAAAGCGGTCTTTGATAACGGTGTTTGTATCCAAAGCAAGCCGAAATGCAGCATGTCTTGAGAGAGAGGCACTGAACAATGACCATTGTAGAGAGTTTTAATCCTTGGATCGAACATCTTTGGCCTAGGCCTGGCTCATGAATTTTGCATAATTCTGGATTTGTTTGTGTTGTTTTATAGTTTAATTTGGCGTATGTTGGTATATTAATGTATATGAGTATATTAAATCAGACCTCTCTTACAATCATTGGTGGTTGAAACACCCAAAACTGTTGGCGATGTTGGTTTCTTCCTTGAAACCACCAGCTGGCGACGGATTCAACAATATCAACACCATACAAAAGCCATCAGTGTGCGGATCGTCGATCAGCCGCAAGCCATGTTCATTGCTTGGGCTTAGCATCAGGACGCAGCTCTTGTCCACAGTAACCACATTGGCGGATCCGACCAGCGTCCCTTGGAGATCTGATGGCGGGGGAGATGGGTTGATGCGGGGTGATATGTTACCCAGTTGGCTTGAGATATCGAGAATTATTGAGCCATACCAACATTGTGAATCCAAGCAATTCCTTTTTTCTGGTTATATGAAGCCCTATTCTTTTTTTTCGTGAACCGTTCTTCTTGTGTCCTATCAAGGGGCCCATGGCACAAGAAGATGCCCTGAGTTTCAGTGTGGGGGGCATCGAAGCGTATCTTTGTTCAATGGTGTTTCCAATTGTTGCTTAATCCACCATTTAGGGAATCTATAGAAAATAGAAAACACATGAACACATGTTCTTATGTTGTTGTTGTTGTTGTTCTTGTTGTTGTTGTTGTTGTTGCTGCTGTTGTTGTTGTTGTTGTTGTTGTTTTCATCTTACACAAATCCAAGATAAAAAGTGCTAGTTTCCCAATTTACAAATTGATCAACACACATCCTGGCTGGTGGTTTGGAACATGTTTTATTTTTTCCAATGTTAAAGAAAACATCAGTTGAAAGAATGGATTCTGCGGAAGTCAAGCCATGGGCAAATCAGGTCCCCTTTGGTTCACGTTGGGATCTTTCCGTCCTGTTCAAGCGCCATCCATCGGAAATCGCATCCCCGTTGTATGCAAAAAATGGACACTATGATGGTAGGGATTTGGGATGATAGATATTATTGATATTATGCATAACTGTATAATTTTATGTATACATATAATATCATATAGATAGACATACATGTTATATACATGTATTTGCACATCATACATAGCTAATAGCATGATTGAATACGAACCAAACATCCGAGAAACTTTCAGGATGTGGCGAGTCGCTTTTCTGACTCCTTAGAACTGGAGGGTCTGAACGTGACTGGGTGGCAGGCGAGATTATACTGACAGGCCACCGTGGCTAAGATATGTGGAGATCTTATGAAAAGTCCTCAGAATCGTTCGGAAAAGAAGAGTGATATACTTCCTATTGACAAGAAGCTGATGTGTTTACCCGAAAAGAAACACTCAGTTTGTTTTTCTCAAGATGTTTGATATGGCAAACTAACATAGATGTGGAAAACATGGAAAACCCAGCATAAAAATAGTTAGATCATTTTCCGCACGGCTTTCAAGGTTTCCACATGGGGTTTCCACATCTTTTGTTACCCTACCCTACTGACGCCTAGAGGTCACCTCCATCCAGATGCTGGAGGTTCCTAAAATCATCAGCACCGAAAGCCATCTGCAGGAGACGCCCTCGGGTTACCCTCGGCTCTTTTTCGTTGTCGTAGCTATGGAAAATGATCATTTTCTGGTTGGTTGGTCGGAACATGTTTTATTGTTCCATATATATAATGTTTATATATATATATAATTATATTATATATATATATATATTGGGAATAATAATCACACCTGACTTTCATATTTTTCAGAGGGGTAGGTATACCACCAACCAGTTTTCATATAGGTACATCAACTGTCAATGGCCATGTTCAATAGCTATGTTGAATTGCCGGAGAGTAACGTGGTAAAGCCATCTAATCATAAACCATCGGCAAATGGTAGGTTTAGGGTTTTGCGTTTCCCACATCGTGGGATACAATTGGCATATAATTTGCGTATAATTGGGCATAGAACTGGTTTAGAACTGGCATATATATATATACATGGGATATGATTGGAGTAAACCAACTGAAGGATATTTGGGTGATTCTGGGTGTATCTAAAATGGACACATACCCTTGCAGTGTGTTTTTAATGGCAAGTCGGTTCAAAAGAAATGGATTTGGGACCCATGTTCAGACAAGACTGTATATTCTATGTCTTTTTGGTAGGTTTTTACACCTCACCCTATCGAATTTTAACATGGAACCCGACAAATTGGGTTCCATGTTAATTATCGCTTCTTGTTGGAAGATGTTCTCCTTGATTTCCCAGATTCAATCGTTGCTTGGAAGGGGAACATCTACCAGGAATGGATCAACATCTGTCATCATGTTTTTTTGGACGGCTACTTGGCAAAGCATTTCGTAAAGGCCATCACTGGGCCATCACATAAGTACGTATATATCTTCAATAAGGTCATGTAAAAAAAAACATCTAGAAGAAATCTAGTGATAGTGTGTAAATGTGTAATGTATATGCATAATCTATATAAATCTATAAATAGTATAGACATATAAATATATATATAGACATTATTAACGTAATTTGATACTATATCCATATATCAGAAACATAGAGACATAGAGTCCGCACCGTAGGATCCACCCACGGAGCACTTGCTGCAAAGCTCTCAGAGTCTCGGTTTCCTTTTTTTGAGATGCCTTCGAGGGAGATACCCAGGGGTTAAAACATGGATTTTTAGACTCATAGATTGTGGTGAATAGTGGTTAAGCAATTCTATTGTTTAGATAATGGTTGATAGTGCTTAATCATGGTTATTATATAACATAACTGTTGAATGGGTATATAATGGTCATTGATGGTTAATCATGATAATGGTAGCAACTATATACTGATAAACCTTTATTCAAGATTGCTACTCACTGGTAAATGATGCGTAATTTGCTGATGATTGACAATGATTGATGGTTATTATTCATATTGGTTATAGTTATTGATAATTAATGGCTATAAATGTTATTGATACTGGTTGTTGTTAGTGGTTTATGGGGAAAACATACGTTAAACATGTGGAAAACCCATGGTTTCCCTAGAAAAACGATCTACTTTCATGTTGGGTTTTCCACATCTACGTTACTTTACCAGATGGTATAAATGGGATATTCCCATACAATGTTCCACTTTACGGAAATGAGGGGATAAAACGTGATTTAATTTTGTGCAATTGACACAGAATTGGGAATATCTGAACCATCTTTTGGTAAATAGCTGAAATGACTAGAAACCGAAAATGAACAAATACTTTCTTCCAGTGATCCCCACCATGGCATTCTATCTGACATATATTCTGACATTCTATCTGGCATCTTATCTGACATCTATTCCGACATTCTATCTGATATTCTATCAGGCAGTCTATCTGACATCTCTTCCGACATTCTATCTGATATTCTATATAACATCTTGCACTCGCAATTGAGGTCCCACAGTGCCCACTGAGCTCCGGAGCTCGCAGTTGAAGCAGAGGCGGAGTTGGCTCTGATAATACCTATAGAATCTAGATCTAGAGACCCTCACCTGACAGGTGGGGAAAACGAAAACAAGTTTGGGGTTGAGCATGGACCAACTCGAGATAGTTGTAATATTGTACTGTAAATTATATATAGACTAGATATTTTGCAGATATGCGGCGCCATTCTGACTAGGTAAATCCAACTTGTCGTTGTTTTTGTTTCATGAATTGTTCTGTCAGCTGTTGGTGCAAGTCTGAAAGTAGAGTACCCTAAAAATCATTGGTTAATCATCACATTCTCGTTAAATGTTCGTTTGGAAAATAAATTCCTTGTTTTTGTTCAGACTCACCCAATTATAGCATTGATGGTGACATGTCCTTCTAGTTAAGCACTGTATATTCACATCAAGTCGTTGCTGGTGCTATACGATGTTATACACCCATTTTCAGACGCACCCCGCCTGTCGGATGAGGATCCGCGTTTTTGAAATATCGATCATTTTGGATGGAGTCCCCCTTCGTGTTGTCATGAAAACCCCGGAGCTTTGATGATCAGAAATCAGATCCAATTAAACCCATATGTTTAACGGTTTCGATCGCAAATTTTGTTGCTAAAAGACCTTGAATGCTTGATGGTTCAATCAGTTCCATCCTGATATGTTTCGATGTTTTGTTGCTACAACACTAGGGTCCACCATCACCAATGACTTACCATTTTTATGGATGGGATTCCAACCATCAATCCATACGATATTGGTTTATGTTTGAATCACATGTTTATGGTAAAATATCTGAATAATTACATCAATCAATCAATCAACCAATCAATCAATCAATCATTCAATCAATCAATCAAACCATTTATCAATTTATTCATTTTTTATGGGTGGTCTATGGTTTATTTTTGGTGCCATATCTGTTAAATCCATCTGCACCCAAGGATCATCCTCTGGATACTGATGGGTGTGGCCATCAGCACTGTAGCCGGCTGCGCTGCTTGGGGCCTCTTGGATGGAAGTGGATTTGACGAACCCATGGGGGATGTAAACCTGAAATGGATGGCTTATGTTTTATATACATGGGTTATATATGGGGGTTTTCCTGAAATAGGGCTACCCCCAAATCATCTATGTTAGTAGAATTTTCCCCTCCAAAAAGAACATATCCATATATTGGCCCCCAGGGATTGGAAACCTCCATTTGGTAAGAATAGTCGGATTTAAAACACAACACACTAATTACTGGTTGGTGGTTTGGAATATTTTTTTATTTTTCCATATATTGGGAATAATCATCACAACTGACTTTCATATTTTTCAGATGAGTTGAAACCACCAACCAGACTATGGTTTATCTGATGTGTTTTTCTATAAGGATACTTGGAGGCGCGGTTGAGATTATGAATGTTTTGTTTTTTTTTAATGGGATTTTAACCACCAGAAGTTGGGATATCGGGCCCCAAAACCATGGTTATAATATTCATTGAAAACCCCAATTTCATCCCCAATTATCAATTGTATAAGTTAGTCGTCAGAATGGTATCATGTTTTTTTTTTTATACATGTCTGGATCGAACTGGGAACATTTTAAATGTTAGGGGAATACTCAAAACGAGTAGGAACTAACGATTTAAATTATAGTTTTGGGGTTGAACCAATCACCCAGAATCACCCAGATAAGGGTATGGGTCCAAATTATCAACCCCCGAAATGGACTGTTGATATTGAGAATAATCCATTGGTGCCCTAATCTTGACCCATTCCCATAGAAGAGCAAAAATATGGGATATGATATGGAATGTTGGTCAACAAACCGAGGATTCAACAAAAGTAGAAACAGAATCAGGATGGGATTGATATGGGAGTTTTACCACCAGCAAATTGGGATATCATGAGAATATGTTTTGGGGGACTAAACCAACCTTCAAGCATATGATTTGGTCCAAAGATGGTTGCCTTTTAAACTGCTGAGCCCGCTAAGCCAGTGTTTGTTGGCATAGGCCGCAGGTTTCCACCACCACTCTCGCAAGTCCAATTTCTAGCATTCCTGAAGAAAAATCAGAAGCAAAGCCGCAGGGTACCATTGTTCATGGCAATGATTACTTGCTACCTCCCCAAGTTGTAGGGTTATATAAATCCGGGGTTGACATTGTGCTGTCATTCTGCTGTCAAAGATGGCGGCATCGCCATGTCATCACCATAAATGTGTGGTTTATTATTGGGTTGCCCACATTACGTATGTTGGATGCATTGACATCATCAACCAGAACACCTTCAGTTCGTCCATTTCTCGTGCTTCGACAATCAGCTGATCAGTTTGTTTCCAAGTTTTTTTTGTGGGCAAAGCCATGCAGCTACTGTGGATGGGCCAGCGATTCATGCTGCTCAGCCCATCCCGCCAGGATCCCATGATTTCAAGATATTTTTTGATGTGTTTCATAGTCAAAATACCTATAAGTTCCCAACGGGTGCAACATGATTTTTAGGTCTTCAACATGTTCAAAAAAAGCTAAATGACATTTTTTAGGACTTGTCTTAGATGTTGGAAGCCGCCTTTGATGTGTGGCTTCCTGATCATGAAAAGATCAACATGTGGGTGTGTCTGAAAATGGGGTACATCCCTGTACATCCCAAAAGTACCCATTTTGATATATTCTATAATACTATATACAATAATTAGGAACATGGTGATAAACCATAGGATTTGTGCGGTACCCTATGGTACCCTATTTTCAGACAAACGTATATTTGTATATTAAGCATATGTATATATGACCATTATTTACACACACATATGTATATCATATATATATACACGTTTTTATGGTAACCCCAGAAGGATAGAGAGGTACATGTTCACTAAATTTGCGATAATTTAAACCTGTTCTATCCTTCAGGGGTTGCTATAGAGTAGCGACACTTGAGGTGCTGGATATCTCTGCGGCTACCTTCATGTCCGACAACGACAGCAGCTGATGATGCGCATGAGCTCCAAGAGTACGCAGAGTTCGGAAGAGTTGCCTGAGCAAATGTGAGGATGAAGTTCGTGGCTGTTGAATAGACTTACGGTCACATGTGCTTGCTATCGACATATACTTATACATATATCAACTATGCATATAGTATGTAAATATTATTACACAGCAATACATATATATATATATGTATATATATATGATTATATATGTCGATGACATATATGTATACATGTATTATGTCATAAATATTTAAGTAAGCCAACATTTTCAGACAAACCCAATTTGGTTCCTGGAGATATGCTGGGTGTTTCTCGACTGGTGAATGATAGGTCTTCGTGGGCTAGTTTACGCGTTGATTGAAGCATACACCAGATCCCAGTAAATACCCGACAAGCGCTGCACTTGTGGCTTGTGCGCCGATGGTACTGTAGATACTGCAAGGGGTTGATACAGGTTCACATTCAGTATTGAATACTTTACACGGCCGTGTCTGAAATGGGGTATAGCCTCTAAAATGTGAATGATAGACCATCAGATCATGTGGTTTAGCGGGTACCGGATTTTCGCCACAAATGCCTTGTTGGGGCTGCAATCTACCATAGATGTGGCCAAGCGGTTTCAAAAAGGTTTAGGACTTTCAAAAGCAGCGATGGAGGGGATATCTCTGCAACGAAAGGTCGTGCCTTGTCAGTTCCAGTGGAATTGATATGTTGTTTTAGCATTTCAAGACATGAACTGAACCTCTCATGCTGTCCCTGAGGTTTCCCTTCAGACACTTGGTTGCATCAAAATGCACGGAATGTGCAAGAACGAAGCCCAAGACTTCGAATAAGCTAAAGTTCTAAGAATAAAGAGTATCAAACTTGTTGATTATGATGATTACAAGACAATCCTTGAACCATCATGAAAACCTAATCATATGAAACAGATCTTTATAAATCGTATCTTTATTGCTAGATATTATGATGATCATCAAATGTGATAATATTGAATAATATAGAGTAGTTGCAACAATCCCATGGATCTCTTTGGGTTGTGTTTCAGCTCGATAGTCCAGCCAAGTGTATCATAATTGTCAGAGTCTCATTAATGTCCCACTAATTTCCAATGAATATCATTAGTATCAAATCAATATCCCAGTTACTCACAATTCATATTACTATTCTTGTCATTATCATATCATCCGTATCTCTTATCACCACGTTAAACCATTATGTGTGTTATCATTGTCATTACAGCATTAATGGTAAATTAATGTATATATATATATATTATCATTATACCGTTATTATGTTCATGATATCATTGTGTCATATGTTTTGTTTTTTTAATTCATGTTATTTGATCAATATCATTGTCAGTATATGTTGGTATCACTACTGTTAAACAATAAAGTTCCATTTGTACCATGTATCATTCTAATTTATCATCTAATAATGTGTTTATCACATCTGTACTGATTTTATCATTACACCATCATTACCATCCCATCCCGCAATTAATCATCATTGACATCTGCAAATATGGTATAATCAGCCCATGAATTAGCGAACATAAATATGATACGTTATGATTATTACCATTGTGATTACTATCATGACATTCACTACAGTTATAGCCCTTTTTCGCCTATGGCGAAGAAGACCTCATCTGAACGTGATACGTTTCACCTAACAGTTACAGGAGTTTATTCATTCCATGGCACTGCTGGCCGGGCCATGGAACGCCACGTGCCTGTTCCGGGGTTCCCGAGCCCTGGACCCAGCTGGACCCGAAAAAGCGAGCTCAGGTGTGGTCAATGCTCAGTCCACCCTGCGTAGCGCTGGAACGCCACGTGCCAGGGACACTAGGGATGAACTGGTTCTGACTGGAGGTTAGGTTATATAAACCATGCCCAAAATGGGTTGTTTATTATGGTTTATTATTGTTTTAACCACATTACTAAAATGATCTAATGACTGAATGATTTCGGGGTAGCCTTATTTTGGAAAGCCGTTTGAACGTTGGGATTTCACCATCGCCAGGCCCCCAATGATGGCATGAATCCCTCCGTCCGTTCGTTTTCGGTCAGGAGATTGGCAGCCAACGACGCAAAAAAAAACTAGCTGACCATTCCAAACTTGCAGCTTTATGTCCCTATTGTTTGTCGTGATATTACTTATATATTGCTCCAACAGAACGTCTATATACAATCTACCGTCGTATACCAGGACCATGGTATACCATCGTATACCATCATATACCACTACATATACCCAGTGTTGCTGTTCACATCGTTTCAATGCAACATTTAAAACATTCTATACCCATTGTTGCGTGTTTGGTTAAATATCTTAAATCCCGACTTTTGTTGGTTATGTATTGTCATGTCTATATGCACATATGCATATATATATATATATGTACAGTATGATTATACATGTAAATGACGTTCCATGGATTCAGGGCATACCGTCATGTGTTTTCTGAATACAACCAACCATACTACTGAGGAAATCCATATACAATGATTCCATGTAATCATGTTTTTAATATATAGAGCCTTTTCCCATGGATAGTATTGGTAACATATAGGTACCCAATGATATATAGGTATTATACCAAGGATGTATAGGTGTATATATATATATATACACACACATGGTCTTGTTTACCCAGCCGGCAGGACAGCAGCTTTGATGCCCCGATGGAGCGTTCGGGCTTGAGCCCCTCTGTGAACAAGTCCATCAGCTGCTTGGGTGAAAACATCGGGAAGAAACATGGCGAAATGATGGTGAAACAATGGGCCAATGATGGTGAAATGCTGGTTAAACAATGGTGAAATGATGGTCAAATGGTAATGAAATAATTGTTAAATGGTGGTGAATTAATGGTGAAATAATGGTTAAATGATGGTTAATGATATGGTTAATGATATGGCTAATGATATGGTTAATGATATGGTTAATTATTTTGTTAATAATATGGTTAAATAATGGTCAGCATGATTATGATTCTGCCATCATACTGAGGATGGTTGCAAAATCCTGCACCAGCTCGTAACTATTGGGATTCTTATGAACCCCTATAAATAGTGGGATAGTACTGGGATAAACCATGTACCAACTGGTGCAGGATTTCGCAACCATCCACAGTATCAGAAGTTGAGACATCAAACATACACCTGTTCACAGGATTATACTAGCTGGTTCAATGGGGATTATGAACCAGTCAATAGTGGAGAAAGCTATCAGCCAACCAGTAGAATGAGATGGGATAGGTGATGATAGGTGTATTTTTCATGGCTCAGTCCTTATATGCCACGATAAACAATGGTTGGATATAATCATCGACAATGGCAGTGGTTATATATTTGGATATATGTGGATAATTGGAATAGAATTGGGTTTCGCATGGGTTTCCTTACTGAATTCGTGATACAACGGGTATGTTGTACAGAAACTCGGAAACAAAATCAATAATTATGATATGATATGATATGATATGATATGATATATGATATATGATATATGATATGAGTGTGTTTGAAAATTGGGACACCCCCCAAATGACGGTACAATAGGGGAAACCCTGATAAAACCATCAATTTCTGGGAGATCTGACTGAGGTTCAAAGCTCCTGCTGGTTGATGATGATAGGAGGTTATATCATAATAATATATATATATATATATAAACTACCCAATATATTGGGGATCATCATACTCACTGGGATTTCCAATCGACCAAGCGGTACAATGGAACGGTGGGCGCTTGTGGGCCTGACTATGGTGATAGAATGGCGAATCCTGTTGTTGTTGGGCAAATATATTTTTAGTTCCCCTAGGAATCAATAATCTATGTTTGAGAATTATTCGTCCTACCAATCTCTTCGCATCATATGAGGTACGGTCAAAACTCTGGTATACTACTTCAGTAAGGATAGTTCTCTGGTGTCTGGAAAATTCACAAAACACTGTGTAGCGATAGGGCCCCCCCAAAAGCGATACCTATAATTGTGCATAATGTCCACATCTGAAGTTGTTTTGCACAAAGTTACGAACATGCAAGAGGCTAAATTTGCGATACCCCTTGCGATACCTTTGCGATACCCATTTGTTCAAAACGTAGCCCCAGACCAGACCACAAATAGATCCTTTCCTTTTACCTTTCCTCTTTTTCCCTTCCTATTCCTTTACTCCTTTCCTTTTCTCTCCCTTTCCTCTTCCCTTCCTTTTCTTTTCCTTTTCCCTTCCTTTTCTTTTCCTTTTCCGTTCCTTTTCCTTTCCTCTTCATTTCCTTTCCTCTTCTTCTTTTTCTTTCCTTTTCTTCCTCTTCCCAATCCTTTTCCCTTCCTCTTCCCAATCCTTTTTCTTTCCTCTTCCTTTCCTTTTTCTTTCCTCTTCCTTTCCTTTTCTTTTGCTCTTCCCAATGATTTTCCTTTCCCTTCCCTTTTCCTTTTCCCTTTCCTTTTCCTTTCCTCTTCCGTTCCTCTTCCTTGCCTCTTTTTGCAAAACCAGGGATAGCGATAAGGCCCCCCAAAAGCGATACCCAATTTTCGGGAACCAAGCGAAGACAATCAGTTTTGACAACGGCTCATATAGAATACCCTGGTGTCACTGGTGTCCGACAAATCCAGTCTGACAAATCCTGTCTACACAAACTGGCTACACAAATGGTGATTTAAGTAACAGACATGCTGAGTTGGCATGATTCAACCAACAATCAGTGGGGACTTGACTTTCACCACGATTTTTGAGGGCATATCAGATTCAAAGGATATCCAACCCTGGGGAGTTCGGGATAGAAACACCATCAAACAGCACGATCAACGTCGAAAATCAGACGGCCTGGCCGAAGCAACATTGGTACAATACAATCTGGGAAAGACAGTGACATAAGATTGATGTACATATATTGAACAAGGACAGACAGGAACACATAGAAACCACGCGCTTTCCTCAGGCCGGAAGAGTCATGACGGAACATTGCGCGCCAGCGCTCACCAGAACACCGGCAAAAGCGTGATTCGAGAAGTGATCCTTTGAGTGCTAACTCGCGGTGCGAGTTGCATAGTTTGAGGAACTCAAACTGGGAATGTTGGAAGACTTTGGAACACTATCATTGACTCAATGTGGTTTTGAAATTAGTAAGGATGTGGGAAAACTGATCATATGTAAATTATTATTGCAAATTGGTCTAAGGCTTTGTCTTTGTTGTTCCGATGAAATTCTACGTCTAGTATTGCTATTGCTTCAGCCCCTTTTTTTTGTTGGATGAAATCGAGCCCTTTTCCTTGGACATTTCATGCATGTACAGAGTAGAGCGCTGGAAGATTCCAGCTGCCACACTGAGAGGGGTGGAGAGTCTTTCCAGACACTGTGTGAAGAGCGCCGGTGTTTGCTCCGCCCCTTTCTGAAACATGGAAAGACATGCGAGCTGCTACGCCCCACCCGAGATTTAGAAAAGGTTCGAATATATTTAAGGATCCTGTAGTCCATTGTATATTCCCATGTATGTGGGATTATGTGGGTATATGTTTGCACAGTGTCATACATCCTTTTATGATCTTTTATGTATATACTGTTTTGTAATTTGGACACATAATGACACATATGCATCATCATACATTCAATATATTTTTGAGAAATATACTATATATATATATACATTGTATTCCGTAATCCAAGAATGCATGATATGCCAATAACTTTCACATGCTGCAGCAGTGCTACTCCAATACTTGTTATCCAGAGACTGTACCCGTACCCTAAATCGAAATCGGATAGTGCCGGCTGATAATTGCAAGGTGTATGCTATTGTATGCTTTTTGCAGTGCAGGGTACTGCCTATTTGCCAATTTTGGGCCGCAGCCGGCGACATGCTGTGCACAGATTTTCGTTAGCGCCCTCACCCGCAGGAGCAACCTCTATGAAAGCAGCTGCGATCTGGAGCTAGATGGAGGGGTCATTATGATTCCTGCCACAAATCTCAGTGACATTCTGAGTATAATCCCAAAAATATAGAACATGCATTATCACATTTAGTGGAATGTTACTCTTCAATCTTTTGAAGGTCAATATATGTAATGAAACACGCAACAAGCTGAAATTTACTCGCACTCTCTGTGTGTTAACGATGTGAGATGTGAATCCAGCACTTGCTTCAGACTGGAAACAAGCATGTACCTATACACCACTACAGTTGTTTACCGTCCCCGATTCATCCGAAATGGGTACAGTTATAGCCCTCAATTTGCTTATAACATCATTGAAGTGATGTACAATGATGTATGTATAACCTTAGTTACAGGAGTGATAATCCCATTTGTAACTGTTAAGGGCCATGAATGTACAACTTGCATGTTTTGCAGTCAAGTTTGTACCTCCGCCCATCGCAATCCGTACTCTGGTATTCCATGCAAAGCACACACACATACACCGATTCGGCGAAGATTTGGCACATGACACAATCAAACATTCCCTACCAAGTGAAATTACAATGGTCCGAGCTGCCCTGTCTCCTACCATCACTCCAGATGACAATGATTGCAAATTGAGTAGTTGTTTCTTCAGATCGCAAAAACTGCTCAAAATGGAAGCGAAGCAAAGTTCTGCGCTTGGAGTTGTGCATTGAGAATCCGAGTTACTTCAGGGTTGGCAGCATTCCGTTGCCAGTTGCAAACTGGTCCAACTGTGAACTCCGTGAACTCCCTGTGTTTTGATTGAGACCTCCCAACACGTCTCAATAGTTGCCTTGGGCCCTTGACATGCTCAAACAGTTAGGCATCACATGAATGGCGCTGTGAGATGTGAGTTTACACAGACATAGACCTGATAAATCCAGATAAGTTCGATAGTTTACCATTGAGGTTCCCGAATGGAACCATAAAATTGACCACTTCAAGAATCTTTACTAAGTACGATTCCATGTTTGGGGCTGGCTATATGATTTTGAGCCATTGCCATGGCCAGCCATGTGACAAGTGATATGAATTGATATGAGATATTCTTTCAGTGCATCGACGGGTGCATGCACACATGCTTTCTTGAAGCATTTCTACATACTGCTTTTTGGGCGTAGCTACACAGCTAGTCTGAGTGGAACAGGACATCCAAGGAATGGTTTTCTTCCGGGGGGGGGCGGTTGAAGCCACTGTAGTTATAGCCCTAAAGAATTGTCACTGGCCAACTTCCCTTCATTTAAGTGATATATGATATATATATATATTTATACTATATTAATTATATATGTATAATATCATGTAACCTTAGTTGGAGGAGTTATATCATCCCATGGCCCATGGCCATTCAAAGACTGTCACTGCTTGGATTCTGATGCACTGCACCATCTTCCTGGAGGACCACAAGTGTCGAAGAATGGCGGAAGAACGCCGTGTAGAGTCGGGAACCTGACTCTGTGAGCCCCCCTCTTTCTGAGCAATCGGTAAAACAACGACGGGCAACAGGTAGCCCCAGGTAGCCCTAGCCGCCCTGAGCCATTGTTGAACAAGCGACACGTTTTTGTGATGGAGAATTGGTATAGGAAAAATCGATGTTCTTCCACATCATGGAATGGCCTTTTCCCCTTTTGGGGGATGAATCAGGAAACCTGCGATGTGCGGATTGCTGAAAGCAAGCCGTAGCAGCCGTAGCACATGTGAGATGTGGCAAGGACCAGATGCAAACCGCTGTGTGTGGCACAAGCAAGCACACTTTGGGATGGAACATTATAGAACAAAAATGGTCTATAGGAATTTCCGTACTACTGATTGTGATTATTCTTGATACATTTGGCACTTTGAAGCAACTAATTAAATCCCTTCCCATGATCACATCATATAATTCTTCCCCGAAAAATACGTGTGTCGTTTGCTCAGACTCTGGTTCTTTGGGCCAGAGCAACCACTTGTGGCATCACAGCGGTGAAGCAGTGAAACGCTAATGCTAAGCCGGTTGAAAAAAGAACAGTCAGAAAACGAACTAATGTTGGTAAAGCAATGTCATAAACCACCCAGATTGATGGTTTATACCACCCCTTTTTTGTTTCAAAAAAATGTAAAATATGGGGGTGGTGGGTCCTATTGCTTTACTCACATATATTTCTTGGGAGGGTATCTAAAATTGGCCACGTGACCGGCATCGATCATTCCTCGTTGGACAGTCAAAGTGAGTCCCCGGAGTTACAAGTTGGTTGCTGAAAATCCGCTATCTAATTTGTATATTATATATATATATATTATATATATATAATATTATATATATATCCCGTAAATCAAAAATGATAGTTTGTGTAGGTATAAATACGAACTTTGCTATCGTGCGACCCCCTTCCTGTGCCGGTCCTAGGCCACAATTTCGCACAGGTGTGGCCCCCTGATTAAACAGGGGACCTTTCTGGGGTTGATGAGCCATTACGCTCCTGGTTAAAATTTGCTGCAGGTTATGGCAGGTCATTGCTTTTTTCTTGTTTGCAATAAGAGACGTGAATTTCACGCACATCTAAGTCTAAGCATATCTACTGAACTTAGAATACCTAAGTCAGCTTAGCAAACCTAAGCATTGGATTTTTCGTTGGCGGGTTATTTCGGAGTAGCCATGTGCTTTGGGTAAGTTTCACCAAGGGCAATTTCGCCTCTCAGCGCAAGATCGCGATTTTCAGGAATCAGTTCATTCTTAGTCATCTTAGTCATTCTCGGGCCGCTGACCTTATGAACTTCAACAATTTCCGAAGAAATGCTAGACTTTGACTTTTTTTTACGACTTACTTAGAGGGTCTTAGTATAAATATAATATGTATGTATATATATATGTATATATCAATATATATATATACACCATATATATATTATATATATACATATTATACAGTATATATATACATCATATATATATTATACACAGTATACATACACACATCCATCCATCCATCCATCCATATATACATACATTCATTCATTCATTCATTCATTCATTCATACATACATACATAAATTAAATTGCAATACATTGCATACATTACATACATTACATACATTACGTACATTACATACATTACATACATTACATACATTACATACATTTCATACATTACATGCATTACATACATTACATACATTACATACATTACATACATTACATACAATACATACAATACATACAATACATACAGAGAGGCAGAGAGGCAGAGACACAGAGACACAGAGACACAGCAACACAGCGACACAGAGACACAGAGACACAGAGACACACAGACACACAGACACAAAGACACACAGACACACAGAAACATCCATGCATACATGCATACATGCATACATGCATGCATGCATACAGACATACATACATACATACACACATAAATATATATATATATGTATGTTCTATACATATATATATATATTCTATGCATACATACGTACGCACGTACAAACATACGTACAAACACAAATACATACACATATACATACATATACATACATAGACATACATAGACATACATTTACATACATAGACATACATAGACATACATATACATACATATACATACATATACATACATGTACATACATATACCTACATAGACATACATAGACATATATAGACATACATAGACATACATAGACATACATAGACATACATAGACATACATATACATACATATACATACATATACATACATGTACATACATATACATACATATACATACATATACATACATATACATACATATACATACATACACATACATATACATACATGTACATACATTCATACATACATATACATACATATATTTTCACATACAATACATAATCATACATACACATACACATACACATACACATACACATACACATACACGTACATACACATGCATACACATACATACACACATACAAATACATACACACATACAAATACATACACATATACAAATACATACACACATACAAATACATACACACATACAAATACATACACATATACATACATATAAATACATGTGTATATATATATACATACATACATACATGCATGCATGCATGCATACATACATACATACATATGCATACATATGCATACATATGCATACATATGCATTCATATACATACATATACATAAATATACATACACATATACATACATATGCATACATTT